CACAATGACACACACACCAATGGCCACACCCACAACACTCAAGCATTGAAATAATATAATTTTTATATATAATAATAATTTATAATAATTAATTATATAATTTTTATAATTTTCGTAAATATAAATCATTTTTCACTTGAAACAATTGCTTTCATCATGCCACAGTGAGTTATCCGAACGTCCTGCAGTTTCCTTAGATCTCTAGCTATGGAAAGTGAGAACGTAGTTTGTAGTTTATGACACCAGAACACATCTACAGACGTCAGGTTGCCGAGCCATACAAGTTGGGTGGGACCCTTCCACATATTTGTCAATTCAGGCAAGAAATATAGTACCAACTCTTTCAATGCACGGAAAGCCGTGTTCGGTAGTCGGTATTCATGACATTCATGGCTAGTAATCCCTTTGAAATTATATAGATTACGAAGCACACACCCGCCGGCCAGCTCACGTTTGTGTTTTCAGGTGACAAAGCGACGTCGTACGGAGGAGCGTGGACTTGGTCAACAGGATTATACGGGGAGAACTATTTCCTCCCCGTATTAGATTAATTGGTATTTAAAAAAAATTATTACAGATTCATGAAATTTTTTAAAAAGAGTTTGGTTATTAATGATGTAAAAGTTTACCATAGATGATTTTATAATTATTTTTAGAAATTACACTGAATTGGGGAAAAAATTTAGAAGAAGAGGAAGAAGCAGATGACCTTGGAAGCATTCAACCTGACTCGACTCCAGCGTGAAGCTGCGGTCTCTGGTTTGGAGAAATTGAAGAATGTAATCGTACTGTGATTCAACCGAGCATAATCGATCGCTTGCCACCTTCAAAAGCATATATAAACAAACATCTCTATTGTAATTGATTTGAGCTTATACATACATACATACATATTAAAAAAGAAATTGATCAATTCTCTAAGCTCATCAATAATTAAAATATACAAAATTGATCAATTCTATTGTCAGAATCATCGCATTACAAGTTTATTAATCGTCACTAACTGTTCTTACTCTATTTCCAAAAGTACTGCATACCCTTTTGCCTCAATAGAGGCAATTCATGGAAAAGACTTGTAGTTACTTCCAAATTTCCAACCAATTGAATAAGGTTTAGTTCATTAATTGCACTTGCACAGCCATATAATCAAACAAAAACACAAAATAATTTTTTTTTAAAAAATCGCAAAAAAGCAATGAAATTTCAATAAATGAAGATTACTCGTTTAGGAAAAACCTTAAAAAATAATAAATAAAAAGAAGAAAGAGATTCCAAACAAAACAGTATAAGATAGTTTACCAACAATTAAGCATGAAGCAATAAAATTTCCATATGTATCTCAGGAAATTTGAAAGAGCCAACTATAAATACAAAAAGTCTTACTTCGTCGTTACAAAATTCTATCTCAGGAAATTTCCATATGTATCTCACCATAGATTACTTTTGTTGTAGTGATAGCCACAACATTGTAAAGTATATATGAAGTAGGAAGAATCAACCTATATAAAGAAAACAACCACTACAGCAGAACGACCAAAATATTATCGACAATTTTATGGTTATGTGATCCTCATAAAACTTGAAACAACTACACTCCCTCGTATTTGTTCAAAATTAGTAGTTGTGAAAAATTCTATAGACAAGAAGAATCAATGAACCAAGTATTTGAGAGCAAAGTACCTCTAATTGAATCCTTCGATACAAAAAGAAAATTTGAAATGATTGATTAACTATCTTGTAAGTTATGCATAATGTGCAATTTAAACAATGGGCCACAGAAGTTGTTTATTGATGCATTTACACTTACACACACTCACTGAGACAAATAGACCAAAAAATAAAAGATATATGACAAATGGTTCAACATTGGCAGCAATGAGATAAAGATGAATAACTAACCTGTTTGAGAAATTCTTCATGCCAATTGTTAAGAGTATCAAATGATTTCATGACATTAACATTGTATACAAGAACACAACAATCTGCCCCTCTATAAAAGGCAACGCCGAGACTCCGAAGCCTCTCCTGCCCAGCTGTGTCCTATATCTAGCAAAGCAAAGCACACAATCACACAGCAAATAAAGACATATTGATCAAACATGCTCTAAATAAAAGTAGGCACAGAACAACAAAACTGAAATGGAACTGAGAACCCACTTGTAAAGTGACAAGCCTGTCATCAAATTGTAGTTCTTTGGTGACAAAATCAGCCCCAATTGTAGCTTTATATTGCTGATTGAACTTCTTATGAACATATCCAGTAAGCAGTCAAATACCCACAAGCACTAATTCAAATAACATCAAAAATAATTCACAATGAGCTTAAGTAGCTCTCTCAGTTGGGATTTTAGAATGGTTTCATTGGATTCCAAGGTCAAAAATTCAAAGAAAAATCAAAGCAATTTTCAGACCCAATAGCAAAACAATTGACTTGTAATTAAAAAAAAAAAAATCAATATCGAGATTTGAAGATTGAGCTACAGTACAAAAATTGAAGCTGCGATCTTCAAAAATTCAGGAAAATAAACACAAAAAAAATCTTTATTTAAAGGATACTGATTAGGGTTAGAGAAAAACCAAGTTGGAAGGTCACAGGCAGCGAAGCATCCAACAAATTAGGGTTCAAATTGGGGAAAAATGACTTATGAAAGTGAGAGACGAGAAAGGGGATAGTGAGATAGAGAAGAGGAGAGATGGAGGTCAAAAAAGCGAGAAGATGGGAGAGGGAGCTCGAAAAAATGAGAAGAGGGTAGGGGGAGAGAGAGTGAGGCAAAAACAGGGAGAGAGGGAGAGAGAGAGAGAGAGAGAGAGAGAGAGAGAGACCTGTTGTAGCGAGTGCCGGCCGGCGACGCGTGGGTTAGCCGGTGCGACCAAGATGGATGGATGGTGTGAAGGAGATGGATGGGTGAGGGAGTAAAAGAGAAAGTAAAAGAGATGCATCCTAACAGAGATATATCTCTCTTGTTCAATTTTATTTTTTATTGATTTCAAATATTTGGTGATGAAATTTGATTTTTCTCTCTAAAAATAATATATTTAGAGATAAAATTATTTCCTCTCTAAAATTTTTTACAATAGTGACAAAAAATTTCGTCTCCAAAATGGCGCCTAATCTTCCGTCAAATTTTCCAAGGGCGGGAAATTGTTTTGTGACGAAAAATAAAATTTAGAGACGAATAGAATTTTCGTCACCTATTATTTTATTTGATTTTAAGCATTTGGTGACGAAATTTGGTTTTCGTCTTTAAAAATAATACAATTGGAGATGAAATCTTATTTTCATCACTAAAACATATATATTTGGAGACGAAATATTTTTCGTCATGCGTTTTCGTCACCATAGACCTTTTTTGTTGTAGTTACCAACACTAGATTGGGGGGTTGCCTCCCTCTGTGCCTCTATATCGATATCAAGTGGCTGTGAGTGTTGGGTCTCCACATTGTCATGTAAATCCCCATTCGGAACAAAAATTACCTCGTGCGAAGGTTGACGAGATGACTGCGCCAATCGTTTTGGTGGCATTGGTAAGCCCTAAAAAACATAATACAAAAGCATAAACAATAAATACATAAAAATGGATAAGTAAAGATATGAATATGGAAATATAACGATAGTATTAGCAAAACATCATTAACGAATATTTAGCTACGAGACATAATAACAAAAATTAGATATCATACATAACCTATATCATACATATAGTACCTCATCGTCAACACTTTCAAAGGACTCGGCGTCAATATCATCCTCATGATCTGACAGTATGTAGTCATCACCATCATCTACCTCAACCCTAATGTTCTTTCCCTTCTCATTAACACGATTGGGCTGAGTAGAACCCATCAAAGAAGCTACTATATGCTTTAACTATAGAGCATCGATTTTCTTATTATTCTTCTTGATTGTCTTATATCTTTCCATTTTGTACTCTGTTAGCCAGGGCCAGCCTTGGGCATAGGCCCACCAGGCCATGCCCTAGGGCCCCTCAAAATAGACCCTAAAAAGGGGCCCCCTCCTATTATAGTTTAGTGTAATATATTAGGTATGTTTTAAGTCTAAAAAAAAAAATTAAAGAAGACCCAAACTAACTTAAAATAAATTTACCGATTAAAAAATTAAAAGACCCATTCAAAATTAAAAGGGCCCATTCTCTCTCCCTATCTAATTCCTAACCCTAACTACTCTTAAGCCAATTTTGCCAACAACTTGACAGCAGCCCAACAAAGAGCACAAAGCACTGAGCAGTGAGTGGCACACAAACAGAGCACTAGCACAACAAAGCAACACTGAGCAGTACACAAATAGAGACACGGAGCAGCAGTAAGCATAGGTAGGTTATTTTTTTCTATTCAATTAATTAAATATTTGTCTTGTCTTTTGCTCAACTACTATTATAATACTGGTATTTACATCATTAAGAAGAATTTGTTTAACTTTAATAGTTCACATCAGATAATTTAAAAGTTTGTGTTTTGTTAAGTGGTGGTGGTGCTCTTGTTTTGAATTTTGATCGAAACGAATTTTGATCTCAACTCATCATGACTCTTAAAAGAAATTATCCGTCTGGATTCGCAAAAAGAAAAAAGAAGCAAAGATCCAAAAAATTAGTCGAGTGTCAAAGAGGAGCTATTGATAAGTTCTCTACAAGTGACAAACAAGTGACAAACACGTAGAACAATCTTTTATCCTTTACCTTCAATTTTTTTTTTCATTCAATGAAAAAAAAAATTGTGAAAGGCCCTAGAAATTTATTAGTTAATTATCGGCTTTGGGCCCCAGAAATCTCATGGCCGGGCCTGCTGTTAGCTTCTGTTTCATTAGAAAACCTGGTTTAATCCATTGTTTCTCCCCTTTGGCCATTTTGGTAACTAAAAAGCATAAATTGATATAAAACATAAAATATAAAGCAGAATACTTACGTGAAGAGACAAAACAAAATATATCATAAGCATGTAATGCATAAAAAATATATGTCCATATAGAAAATACAAACCAAAAACTACATATCATATTCCATATCAGGATCCATATCATCATCAAGTATGTCAAGTTCTTCATCTTCTTTGTCATCTCTACCATCTCTCATTGTTTTATTCAGAATAACGTTAGCTTCAATATCATCCCTATGAAATCGAATAATATCTTCAATGTTGATCGAGACAACTGAGTTAATGTTTTCTTGTTGGAATGCATCATGAAATTCTGGTTGATCCGATGGTTCTCCATCACCAACCTTTGGTACGTCAAACACATCCCTATGTTGGACCTGTTGCACAACTTGCCAAGGTTGCCGCCATTTGGTGTCATTCAAGTAGAACACTTGTTTAGCTTGACTAGGCAAGATAAAAGGGTCAGATTGATACCATCGGCTTGTGACATCGATGCTTGTGCAATATGTGTCAACTTGTACTGTTCTACTTCTACTAGTGTCACCAGTGTTATACCATTTGCATTGAAACAAAACAACTTTATTTTGACACATGTACTCAAATTTCGAAATATTGCACAAGTGACCATAGAATTCGTGCATCTCTCCCTTTTAGTCCCCTTTCGGTAAGCACACCACTATTTTGACTCTTACAACGATTGTCTAATTCTTTGGTATGGAATCTTACACCATTGATTATACAACCCGAGTACTCTTTTACTAGCAAATTGGGACCATTCGCTAATGACCACAATTCTTCGGTTGTTTCTGGTGCCTCATCAACTCTCAATCCATTTATCTACATCCACATGCAATGTGTAACACTTGAATTATGTTAGTAATGTTTGAATTTTATACAAGCCTAATAGTGTTTGGGTAATTATCAAAATTAAAAATGACTTACATATTCTTTGAACCACTTCGGAAATTCTTTCTGTTGTGTCTAAGTTATAACTTGTCCAACGGAAATTTGTAACAAATTCTTGTGTTCCCTACTCAAATAGTTTTGCTTAATAAGTGAAACACTATTATTAATGACTAACAACATGAAGAATGTTAAAACATAAATAATTATAAGAAACACGTACTGAAGATACTTCTCTATCTCAGGGCTATTGTACAACAAGAACCAACGAGCAATATCACGAAGTTCCTGTGACATCTCAACATGTTTTCTGATTTGGCCAATAGGACGGGCAATTTCTGTGAATATTGTCAAACCTTACAACGGACTCCATAATCTTCATTTCGTGCATCTCAGTTATGCACGATTTCAATCCCTTCAAGATACATTGAGCAAAAAGTAATACACTCCTTGACAATGTAAGCATCTGTAATAGAACCTTCTGGTCGAGCTCGGTTGGTGACAAACTTCTTTAAAGCTCTAAATAACCTTGAAGAGATAACCAATTAAGAGTAAGGTTAACCATACAACATAATCTATACCTTTCATTTCAAAGTACAATTTTAGAAATTACCTTTCAATCGGGTACATCCACCGATATTGCACAAGTCCTCCGAGAATAGTCTCACGTGACAAGTGAATGGCCAAATGAACCATCACATCGAAGAAGGCTACAGGAAAGATCAAACTTACATAGTATGAGTACTATGTGTTCCTCTAATTTCTCCATTTCACTTCATTTTATTGTCCTTGAGCATAGATTTTGGAAGAAGCTACCTAACTCAAAAAGTGCTATACTGATCTCTTTATCCACATAACCACGCATCCCAATCGGAAGAATCCGTTGTATAAGTACATGGCAGTCGTGGCTTTTCAATCCTGTCAATCTACCATTTTTTGCATTCACTGATCTCGAAATGTTTGCCACATACCCATCTGGATACTTGACTGATTTCAAGAATTCAAAGAAACCCTCTCTCTCTCTTTCGGGGTCAGTGAGAAGCTGGCTCGAGGCTTGACATATGATCCATCAGGATTTTGTGTCAGCCACATTTCGTTCCTTATATTCATATCTTGCAAATCTATTCGTGCTTGTCTAAAAACATTTTCACTAAAGTTCTTCACCATATGCATGACATCAATGTTGTGTCGAAGCCTCATTTTTTTTCCAGTATGGTAGCTCATACAAGATGCTTACCTTTGTCCAATTTGGGTTTTGATGAAGTCTTTTCTTGTCGCTTAGATGTTTTCCATATGTGACACTCGTCACGCTGTCCAATTGTTGTTGAATCTTTTCTATCGGTATCACCAAAGATCTCTTTCGTTTTTCATGCTTGCCATTATATGCTCTACTTTTTTTCCTTTCTAGGTGGTCTTCAGGCAAGTAGCATCGATGGTTAGTGTACGCAGTCTTACTTCTTAAAGATTCAAAATATGGTTCATTATTGCAAGTGTAACAAGAATAATGACTCTTTGTTCTCCATCCAGACATGTCACTAAATGTAGGCCAATCATAAATCGTCCACAACAAAGCTGCACCCATACAGAAAGTCTCACCAGTCGAGGCATCACAAGTTAACGTATCATTTTTCCACAATTGTATCAATTCATCCACTAAAGGTCTCATGTAGACATCAATATCAATTCCTGGTTGTGATTCACCAAGAATAAGTAATGACAACATGAAAAATGGATCCTTCATAGCCAACCACGGTGGCAAGTTATATGGAATGAGTATGACAGGCCACAAACTATATGAGTTATTCATATTTCCGAAATGGTTGAACCCATCAGTAGCCAACCCTAGCCTGCTCCAAGGCGAATTCAGGATGTTGTGAATTGAATTCCTTCCACTCATCACTATCTGCAGGATGCCTCAATATACCGTCATCTAGACATTTTTCCTTGAACCATTTCATATCCTCAGCTCTCTTCCTCGACATGTACAACCTTTTCAATCTCGGTGTCAATGGGAAGTATCGAAGGACCTTACGAGAGATCTTCTTACCTCTACCATGATTTGTCTTGTATCTGGAAGCCTTACAATTTGGACATTTGTCCAGTGTTGCATTCTCCTTCCAAAAGAGCACACAATCATTTACACAAGCATTAATGAGCTTGTATAAGAAACCCAATTTACGTAGTATTTTTTTAGCTTCATAAGTTGACTTTGGAACCAAATTATCCTTCGATAAAAGTTTTGTTAAAAACTCTAGCATCATGTCAACTGACTTATTACTCCAATGGTTTGTCACCTTCATATTAAGTACCTCGATGACAAACTTTAACAAAGTGTAATTTGTGCAACCTGGGTACACCTTACGTTTGGCATCATTCAACAATTTATCAAAAGTGCGAACCTCCTTCTCCTAGGTTGTATTAGTTGATTCCCCTCTTATTTGATCTTCCACTATGGCATTAATACCACCTAAAACCTCATTGCCCTCAACAGCTATATCATGATGATGAGCCTCATTTGATTCACAGGGTTCCCTATGCACGTGCCAGATAGTATAAGTTGGAATAATCCCATGTTGTAGCAAATGAATTTGAACAATTTGAAAATTTTGTCGAACAACATTCACACACTTTCAACAAGGGCACAAAATTTTACTATCTCGATCAATAATCGCCATTGCAAAATGAAGAAATCATATTGCCTTATCATAATATGGCTGACTTATCCTTCCATCAACTGTGTTACCTAGTGCAATCCAACTCTTGTCCATGTTTGACTATGCTAAGTTAATTAAAGATAGGTGAATGGGAAAAATTTTATGTATAAAAAAATCAAAAATAAAAATTTTAATTAAAAAATAATTTGAAGTTAAATGATTATACCGAGTTATACAAATGACAACCACACATAAATCACACGAGGAAATAGACAAAGCAATTTAGCATGAAAAAAATTGAATCAGCAGGCTAAACATTTAATTCATAATTTCGCACAAGTTCAACTAGTTAGAATTGAGGAAGGTTTTTGACTATCCATTGCTAGTAATGTCAGAATTGACCATAAGCCTCTATAATGATGTCACCAAGGCAAAGTCTTACTTTTTTGACAAGAATCGGTCTGTGCAATTTTTTAATTTAATTTTTTCGATTTTCAGTTCAGTATCGATTCAAACATCTTATGCACCGAACTAAACCGAAACCGACCGCTTCAATATATATTATATTTATAATATATATAGAATTATATAATCTAATAATTTAATGATATTAATAAGTATAATAAATTATTAAGCTTAATTAATTTATTTTTTTTCATATTTATAACTTTAATTTGTAAACTCTTATTATATATAATCTTAACTATAATTTATTATGACTTGGTTTGAAAAGTGGATTAATTTTTTGGCTATTTTAACTTGGGTTAAAAAGTCTCGTTTGGATAGACTTTTTGACTTTTGTGAGATAAAGAGTGAAATGATTATGATTTAGATGCGACATGTTATCTTATTAACTTTTTAACCTATTTTTATTTTTTTGTAACTATTTTAACCTTTTAGCCCTTAAAACCAACATGCCAAACAAAGGCTATTATTCTTAAAGTCTAGTAGCTTTTAACTTTTTTAGTTTGTTTGTATTTTTGTTAATCTATGAATTAAAAAGTAGTGAGCTGAGAGTAAAAAGAAGATAACATGACACGAAAAGAAAACCCACTATAGTGATCCCGGGTTTACCCTTGTTGAACAGTGATCCGGACATGTGTCCGTGGATGTTGGTAGTTGTTTATTATCTTGTTTGCATCCTCTTTACTTTGTATATTGAGTTATAGGATGTGTTCATTGGGAAACAATAACTATTTTGGCTCACATTTTACTCGGTAAATAAAATGTGATAAAATTCTGCAAAGGAACTTAATAATGTACGTAAGGAGCTATGCATATAAGAAATGAACGATGCCAATAGAATTGATAGCCACATGCGATAATTCCAATGAATGGCCCGAGACTATAATTTAGTACTTATGGCCTGTTACTGCAGTTAGTACTCTGTTTGATTTTCTCTTTACTCAACTATATATGCAGTCCAGAGAAGTTAAAGCAAGATATGCTAATTTAAGGGTGTAATATTCCAATTTTCATAAAATCGATAGTTGTGAGAGAAAAAATAATTAATTAATAACTACTGAGTAAAAAACTATAGATCTAAATTTTTATATAAAACAACACCCAATTAATACACATTAATATCTAATGAAATGTTTCCAGAGTCAGTCAAATGAGTATGCCATACAGTGTTCCCATTAAGATATTACATAACTAACCAAATATATGCCACCAACATAAGATGTACGAATTTAAAAATAAATTAAAATAAAATGCTAGGCCAAGCTATTGTATTGAAATATAGATAACCCCCATTTCCATCCTTAATATAGTGGTTATAGTCACATAACATTGAATAAGACACCATACTGCCACATAGTCATAGTATAGAATCTGATGCTTCAAAAATCTGGAAAAAGGGAGCTGTGATGGGTAGATATGGTGTGTAGCCTTTAGTTAAGCCTTAGTAATCATGAATGCCAAAAGTGATTATAAATTGAGTAGAATGGTGAATAAGGAACCATGAAACTAATCCCTAGTAAGTTTACATAGACTTTATCTCGTTGAATCCGAATTGTGTTGGGGACTAGGAAACAGATGACAGTGCAGCATAATACACTACAGATAGTTGACGCTTTTCCTGAATTCTAGGATTGTCCATTTAATCTATTCATATAAACTTTTCACATTGTAACATCAACAAAACAGTCAAAACAATCATCAAACAGTAGAAGCAGCTGTTTGTCAATAATGGTAATGAAAAAATGAAGAATAGTTCAAAAACTTTCCAAATATTAGTCTAGTGTATTAGTGTATTATAATAAAACCAGAATTTTTAATGGACTATACACACAAGATCCATATTCAGGACTACGTTAATGTAGTGGTTCAACAAACCAAACTTCAACCCAACTAATTAGGATGGTTACATGAGTACTTTACTTTCCCATTTAGCTCTTTGTAAAGCCATATTTTCAGATAAAATAATGTCAGCCTTATCCTTTCTCCTTCTCTCCAATCATCTTCTTTTTTCATTTTCCTTTTTAAAAAAAAAAATCAATAACAGAATTTATAATAAGAACAAAATAAAAAAAATTTCCTTTCCAAAATCGAAGCTGAATACAAATTCCACAAATGTAGATATCATGAAGCAAGAATTAAGATTGGATTTTGTAAAAGAAACAGAACTGTTCTTGTCATATCATAGAATGAGTTCTTGGGCATGTCACAACAGAAAAGGAAAAGTTGACTACAATTTAAAAAAAATATTAAGTACTATATTACTGCTTTGAGCCATTTTTAAAAGGTGGGAAAACATAAATATATGATAAACTGATAACAACTTACCAAGGCAGTTAGTTTCCTTCTTGTTATGTCTTTATTTTAAACAAGTTGTTTAAACTAGTTGTTTCAGCTAGTTATTTATGCATAGCAGCAGGCCAAACCAACCATAGCAGCAGCCAAGCAGCCCCACCAAAGACAGGACATCCAAAAATAAGTAGAAGGACCAACTCAAGACCTATTTTCCTACATCCAGCAGTTAGCACATCCAGGAAATCAAGGCAAATGGGCAGCAGCAAACAAGCAGCTTGAACTAGCAGTGCCATGGACATGGATTACCTAGTGGAAGATGGGCTATGAACATGCTTAACCGAAGCAGAGATTAACAAACTAAATCCATGTGCAGCTCACATGCATTCATGGGTTCTTACATGGTTGGAACTTGAAGCACACAGCAATAAAGGTTCAATTATCACTGATATAATTGTAGTTGATATACTCCCCGCTCCCCCCCTCTCCTTTTTTTTTTCCTTTATTTCTTTCTTCTTTATTTTCTTGTGAAAATGTTCTAACACAATCCAAAGTATTGACAAATAAACAGTACATCATTTACAGTGCTAGCCTAGCATTATCACCTAATAAAGCGATTATATATATATATATATTTTTTTTTATGACCAATGTCCGGACTAGTTTACGCGCACCTCAAATAATATCATGAGAAGTACCTAACTTGAGCTAATAACATTGTGGTTGTAGAATTCGGTTCTTATCAGTTGTGTAGAACATGTTCAGATCCTCTAGAGTCCACACTCTGCAATTTCCGTGGAGTAGTTCAAAACAACATCATTTCACTTCAACGGCAAAAAAGAAAAAAGAAAAAAGAGGAGACAGAGGAAGAGCAAGAAGAAAATGAGCAGAGATAAAGACTGGAGAAAGCTCTGCATTCAAACTGAAATGAATCTCTCAAACTTATCCTAAAGAAACATATAAATCATGGAATGGGTACAGACGAGGGAATGGGAAAATGGGTCTTTAGACAAGATGTTAGTATTGCTTTGCTTGTCATAAGATGCTTTAGAGAATCCCCTATGCTCTCACATTTTATCCTCAGCAGGTTCCTCAACGATGGATTACTAGGGCAATTTCAAAATAATTTGGATGCTCTGAGAAGGAATTGTATGAAAATGACAAGTGTACGTGTTACACAGATGTTCTTCATACAGAACTTATAGACAAAGAAAGTGGGCTGAGTGTAGATTCTCTTGCCTGATGATTACATCTTGAAACATTTTCTTTTCACTTATGCTAGGTGCACAGGAAGAATTTTATAGTACAGGAATGTGACCCAAAATGTTCACATTGTTGTGAATGTTTTCTCACATTTATGCATTATGTGCAAAATTACCTCTCTCTATGCGATACACGATTTATAATAACCTGTAGATTCAAATTGAAGAAATATTTTGTGCTTATTGTTTAAGGGGGATTTGAACATAGACATGGAGCTTAATATCAAGCATGGTTCCTGATATCACCACTGCATAACAATTGCTAAAATGATAAGATTTTCATCAAATTCTCACGAATAGTTCATTTAATTTCTTTTTGTTTTTGTAAATGGAAGCGTCATTTACCATTATAAGATAATGATTATTTCAGAGCAAGATTAAGAAATGACTTCTGTTTCATTTAACTGAATCAAACATTATCCCAAAGTTATTCCAGTCACATCCTGAATGTGATGGAATGTCAGTCATAGGATAGCCCTATTCTTGTATAGCAGACCAATTTGACATGAAAGTGCAAAGTGTCGTTTACAGCAACAACCTTGTACAACAGATGAATTCCTTGTGTATCCCACAGTTTTGGGGCACTCACTGTTGCTGTAATTAGTTGCAACTTAATCTGTCCCGTATGGTATGTGGTTTGAAAAAAGAAACCCCGCACGTATAGAGAAGTTTATAGTGATATAAACTATATTACATCTATGAATAAAAATAATTATAAACTCTATTAGTTTGTATAATATATATATTTAATAATTAAGTGACATGTAGGACAATCAAATGTGCCAGCTACTAAACGTCAATTATCACTACTTTAGCCTTTATTAGTTTCAATGTATTATAGTCTATTTTAAGAAAGAAAACAAACAAATTTCATCCAAAAGGAACTCAACAATTGGAAAAGAATGACAACAAAATAGTAATGATTGTGACTTGAGAAAAATTCCAAGTGTTGCTAGGCAACAATGACATGCCATAAAACAGTCTTATAACAAGATGATCTAAGTGTACCTCTCTCATGCAGTTCCTTTCAATACTTGTACTCATTAATCACCTCATCCCTTCACAATTTTCCTTAATCCTGAAATTTTGAAAAATTATTGTGTACTTCTTCAACTTTGTCTCAAAAATTATAAATTTTGTGACTTCTAATACTATTGAGACAATGCCCTAAAAGTTACTATTGTGCCAAAAGTATTGAATGACTTCACCTAAAATTTAGGTTCTAAATTATATCCTAATACATTGATGAAAGAGAATGTCGGAAATAATACATTATATCCTAATACATTGATCGATATCATGACGTAAGTAATCAATTTTATTTTTTTATGAATAACCTAAGTAGAAAAACCTATAAAATAAACAGATATTGAACAAACATTCAAATACAGAGAGGAGTTGAACCCTAATTTTATTAAAAATACAGAAAAACAATCCAAATCATATAAAATATTCACATTTAGTCAAGGGCTTTTATTAAATTCAAACTGTTAATTATAATCAATAGGACATTCATTCTCAAGTTTATAGCAGAAACAAGCAAAACACATTAAGGATGGCCAAGTTTAAAATTTACACATTCACAATTTATTGAAGAGAAACCTTGCTGGAAAAAATCAACTACAGCATTAATTCTGAAAATTAATTTCAAAAATTAGGGAAAACATTAATTTTGAAAATTAGGGAAAACAGAGATTGAAAAATAGAGAAATTAAGTGAGAGAGAGGGAGAGAGAAAGAGGACCCATACCTGATGGAAGAGAACACACAGACGTCTATAATTCTTCATGGATTATTCTTATTTAGTGACGAAATTTGTTTTTTTCACTAATTTTCGTCACCATACCAATACAAAGAATAAGAGAAAGAGACACCAGAAAAAGAATAAAGAGAAATCACCTACCAAATCACCGAGCGAAGAAGATGTGGCGGTTACCGGTAAGGCTACTAGTGGCAATGACGATCGGCAAGGCTAATAGAGGCAACGATGGCGATCGGCGTGGTGGAGGAGCAAGAGGTAAGACAAATTAATATCCTGTTTTCAGAGAGAGAGAGAGAGATAGAGATGATAAACAGAAAGGGATAAAAAAAAATTAATACCCTATTTTTTTTTTATTGCCGCTCAATATATCAAAAATTTTCCACCAAAATTGGTGACAATATTATTTCCTCACCAAAACATATCAAAAATATTAAAACGTTTTCGTGACGAAAATATATTCCTCACAAATACTTTTATAATTAGTGACAAATTTTTTTCTCACCAAAAGTCCCAAAAATTTGGCGCCACCAAAAAAAAAAAGGGGGGAAATTTTTGGTGATGAAACTTAATTTTTCCTCACTTAAAATGAAGTATTTATTGACGAAAATAAATTTTGTCACCTACCATTTTCATTTTTTTATTATATGTGACAAAATTTATAAATTCCTCACGAATTATTTTTATTTAGTGACGAATTTTATTTTCTTCACTAGTTTTCGTCACCATAGGTTACTTTTGTTGTAGTGACACCATTGTTGATTGAACATTATATGTAATGAAATGCTGAATTACATTATATTTGTATACTGGTTTGGGAGAAGAGAGGGGTTGTACTCCAGTGTGTATAGCGACCCCGGTCTTTTCTCTTTAAATTATTGTATCCAGACTTAGGTTCCGTGGATCCTGTCATTACTTATTGGTTGTTGTTGTCCTTTAATCTCTTTGTATTTGAAGTTTAGGTTGTGTTGGACGGGTCTGTTACAGGTTGGTTGATTTTAGATGCCGATAGGTGATGCCCAGATTTTGGCCTTCACGCTCGAGCGGAAGTTTTAACGCTCGAGCGGTCCCTTCGTTGTTGCTTCTCCGCTCGAGCGGGAAATTTTGACGCTCGAGCGTGATTTTCCATCTCCCAGTATTTTGCTCTGCAGTTCTTCCGCTCGAGCGGTAGTTTTTACGCTCGAGCGTGATCCCTTGTTTTTGCTCCTCCGCTCGAGCGAGTCCCATATATATATATATATATATATTTAAGAATATGAAATACAATATTTACCAGACATCATATTGGTCATCTGTCCGGCTGCTACACCATCATTAATTTTTTTTTTCTTGAAAAACTTCTCCTAGAAGTTGCTATAAGTTGTTTGGACAGGTTGTTTGCATAATCCAATAGCTCATAAAAATGAATATTTTATAAAATTAAATTTTAGAACATAGAGTCTGATATAGTGTGTATATACAAAAAATACTAACTAAAATACAAAAATAAATTTTTGTTTATAATTTAACTCAAAATTTGTTAAGACTGATGTGGATGCTCTAATGCCTTTTCATTTTAACCTATTAACTTATAAATATCCTAGTATTTGTCAAAAAAAAATTATACGTTAGGGTTGTACCTATTTGTTCACCGCTTGCACCACCAATGCTTCTCAGTGGAGATTTAGAAGACATATAGACAAGGCATTAATGGTGAAGATCTGTTGGTGGTGACAAATAAATTTGTTCATTAAAGGCACGAACGATAGGGTACGGGGTTATTGTTGTGCCCCTTTTTATACATTCAAACGGTACCATCTCAATGTTTTATTTTTCTTCTTTCAAGTCATACTCAAACCTTTATTCTTCCAAATTTTCCAATGCCACCATCATACTTACTGTCACGACCCAAACTTGCCCCTAAAGGTTTAGTGTCGTAACCAGCTAGTAATCCTTAGATTACTAAAGGCCTCTTAATAGACAGACTTATAATTAGGGGCTGCGGAAGCAATATATAAAAATATAGATAGTCAATTGAGTTGTGCAGACATATATGGAACAGATAACCTTAAACTTTTTAAACATACGTGTAACGTCAAAAGATACAGTAGTTATATGTCATCCCATGCATATATAAACGGAAATTTTGCTCGTAAATTAAAAGAAACAAAGTCTTAAACATTCACAAAACATGGCCACGAGACTTGACTTAATCTGAAACCTTCTTGGAAGGCGCGAAAGGTGGCTGACAAACACAAAATCCTTCAGACAACATCTTAAGCCTGGTCATGAGCCTGCTCACCTACATACATAAATAAATAGTAAACGGGGGCCAGTGAATTATAGCAAAGTAAAGTGTTAAATGAATGATGTCCCATAACTAATTCAGAAACTGATTCATATTCATATTCTTATTCGAATCACATATAGAAATCAGAGTTCATGTTTAATCTTACACAGTACATCCGTTAGCGCTAACAGATCACATACAGAGCATCGAAGATCATACTTGTTAGTTCCATAAAGGAACCTCCGGTCGGGTACAGATAACTTGTCAGTTCCATAAAGAACCTCCGGTCCGGGTACAGATAGCATACTTGAATCACAGAATTAATGTCACAAACAGTTGTTAGAACTGGACAATCATTCATGGTGCAGAACATAACATTTCAAAGAACATATCTTATTTTATATACATAAAATAATTTAACTTGAGCATAGCTTTACTAAGTTATTACTCACAGATAACAAATGGCTCCAAGTAAACGGACAGAGTAGGCAATTCAGATATCTTGTGGCGCGTGACCTACACAGATACAGAATGAATACGTACTGAATTACACACCCAAAATCATTAACTTGGTTCTTTCTTGTCTTGGTGTGTTTCTGCTTCTTATCCCCATTATTGTATCTTGATCTTGGCTAGGAATGCCTAGGATGTAATGAGGATGTTAAAATGCACTTGAAAACACTTAACAAAACTTGTTGAAAACAGGGTCCCCGCTCGAGCGAAACTTCCTTCGCTCGAACGGACATGCAAACCGTGAGTGGTCGCTCGAGTGCAACTTTTGTCACTCGAGCGGTCTGTAAACTTTTGCAAAAGTGCTGGTTACTTGATTTTTCTGCTCGATGCTCGCTTGACGCTCGCTCGAGTGTGAGACTCATACCCTCGCTCAAACGCAACTTCTGTCGCTCGAGCGATTTGCAAAACGCGCAAAATTCTAGGAGCTTGCATTTTACGCTCGAGCCAACTTTTGGTTGCTCGAGCAGAAGTGTGAAAATGAAGGTGGTCACTCGAGCGCAGGATTTGTCGCTCGAGCGTGGAAGCAAAATTTTGAAATTTTCAGATTTGCTTCTAAGCTTCAAATTCAACCCCAAAGCTGCAAATTATGGTTTCTTGGGTCAAAAACTTGAGAAAACTTTTGTAAACTTGGTGAATTCAAAATCAATTCCACAAAATCAAGGTTCAAGAGCATGTGATGTATGCAAAACCAAACCCAATGCTTTGAAAACATAACTATATACATCATGCATGTAAAGGTGTAAGTTCCAAGCTTCCAAAACATGATCCAATGAGGTGTCTAACTTAAAAATATGTTGAATTCTCAAACCAAGGTCAAAATGAGGACATGCAAGAGGGAATTCTTTGAAAATAACTTCAAATTATGATGAAATGAGCATGCATGCATGATATGGTTCATTTCTCTTTAATTGTAACTCACTTCTTGTATTAACCTACTTAATTCTTTACAGTTCTTGTCCTACACATCATTTGTAAACAATCTAAAGGTTGAATCCTTACCTAAATTTCCAAGGATGAGAGCTAGAGGCTTAATTCTTGAATCTCTAAGTTCAATTCTTTCTCTTCCTAGCAAATCCCTTAGTTGAGCTCAATCTTCTCCTCACTCTCTTTCTCTCACGTTTTGTGTGTGTATGGGCTCAAGAATGTGTTGAAATGAAGGAAAATGATGAGTAGAGGTGTAAAAGGTGCCTTATATGGGCTTGGATTAAGTAATTCATTGATTAGGCTTAATTGGGCATTAATTTTCTTAATTTAATTGTTCCGAACCGAATTTTAATTAAACCTACCACAATGTTCTAAAAATTCTAACAAACACATAAATCAAGTTAATTTCGTGGTCGGATGCCGATAAAACCTTTAATTCATAGAACGAAATAGAAATATGAACATATCTTTCTACATTAAACAGATATAAACACAATTAAGACAACATATAATGCAAAACTTCACTTACTTATTAAACATAATTAAGCATAGATTAACGTTAATAATGGGTCGGGGTTGTTACACCTACAGCTACCATAACCGTTCAAGATTTGTCAAGTCACCGTTGACTTCTCTCCTTTGCTTTATCGACTTCTCCACTGTTTAAATCTTCAACCCCATCAATTGTCGTATCAATGCTGCTATAATATTGTTGAAAGGCCTAGACTATTGACAAGTGTTGAAAATTTTTTGTTGCTCTCAGGAAGCCGACTCTGAGGCAAGGTAGGCAAGGTCGTCGCCTCAGGTCCCTAAATTCTGTCTGAAATATAAGGTCCCAAAATAATTTTGATCTTAAGCTATGTTTGGTTAATTATTTTAGTCTTAAGTTATGTTTAGTCTATTGAAATGAAATTGAACTAAATAATCATTTAATCATAACGTCCATCCTCACTTTTGGTTTATTAAAAAATATTACAAATGAAATCATCATTTATTATTGTGAGAGAATTGTCATTCTATAAATAAATTAAGAAATGATCATTCCATTCCATTTAATTTTATTTGAGTGAACCAAACATTACATTATAGTATTAGTAGTTTAAAAATGAAGTTTTACAGATTAAAAAAAAAAATTAAGTTAGTGAATTATTTAGGAAGAAGCACCAAAAAATCTCATTTTCATATTTTATAAACCAACCAGTCCTCCCAAAAATCTCACTAACCCAATAGTCTCATTTGTGTTTAAATGATATAATTATCCCATATTTTACATGCTTGTTGATGGGTGGTACTAGTAATTTACTGAAAATCCCGTATTATGAAATTACGCATTTACTCAAAACTTACCAAGGGGTTTTTGTGCTCCTTTTAGAATCCCTAATTTTTTAAAACCGGTTCAATCTGTGGTGTAAGAGAGCTCCGGTGGACAACAATGGCTTCTCAAAAAATTTCTTCACTCTGGCATACAACAATAGGCGATGGACGGTGGGTGATGGTCGACAATGGATGGTGGTCACCGGTTGAGAATGGTGATGGTGGTTGTGGGCTGAAA